GCCATTTTGAATAACACGTGTTTCAGAGGAAAGTGTTTGTGTTTTGTTCATTGTTTTTTATGAACGTGGGTGTGTTTTTCTCTTCGTCTGACACTATATGCTCGAGCAGTTGTTTTATACCATGGTACTTCACGATCACATGGCATCCATTGGAAGCATATAGCACAGCAACTTCATAAGCTAACATGACGTGGGCAATCCTGAAGAAACAAAGTAAGTCATGCAATGTTCGTTCTACGCCATACGTCACTATAATGACGTCATATATCTAATTATATCCGGGGTAGAATCGGTCTTCAGCAACCCATGCCTGCCGTAAAAGGCGACTGTGCTTGTCGTAAGAGGCGACAATCTAGTGATTAATAGCATGAGCATCGATCCACACAATTGGGATCGATGACATGCGTCAACCAAGTCAGCAAGCCTGACCACCTTTTCACGTCAGTCACCTCTTACGACAAGCATGGGTGTTTGAAGGCCTATTCTACCCCGGTTCTTCACGGATCCGGAACGCTAAGAAACATACTGGTAATATACCAAGAACAAGCGTCAATTCATGAGTGGTTGGGTTTGGTTTGATACGACCCTGGACAGTAATTTAGTTAGATTACAGTGTGATCTATTAATACTCATGGGCAAAATGAAGAGATGCCATCAAAATCAGGTAATCAGATACCTTCTGACATATTACCCACACTGCATAGCCGGACCATGTAGAGCACCAGTGCCTCTCAGTCTACATTAGACCACGTGGTTTAAATGTATGCAGATTGTTGGCTGAGTGAGTTGGATTTCCCCTTTTCAAGCGAAGTCAGTAGATGAAAGGATGGTAGTTATAGGATAAAATCACAAAGTGAAAGACACATATCAAACGTTAAAATGTCTATTAACAGTACAATCATAATATAAGGCCACAAATATAACCTTTACCAAATACAGAGGTAGTGAGTGAGTGAGTTTGGTTTTACGCCGCTTTTAGCAATATTCCAGCAATATCACGGCGGGGGACACCAGAAATGGGCTTCACACATTGTACCCATGTCGGGAATCGAACCCGGGTCTTCGGCGTGACGAGCGAACGCTTTAACCACTAGGCTACACGACCGCCCCAGAGGTAGAAGACGCTAGCATTTAGTCACATATGTGTTGAACTTGCTACGTCTGGGCTGTAGGGTGGGTGATTTAACTGTACAGTCCAGACTTAGCCCCCAGTGACTATTTCCTGTTCCGGCAAATGAAATCTGCCGTACATGGAAGTCGCTTCCAGGATGACAAGGACATAAAGGCTGCCACAGAGGCGTGGTTAGAGGGCCAATCTGCGGATTTCTATAAAAGTGGTATTAAAAGCTTGAAGGACAAATGGAATAAGTGTATTGAGGTGAATGGAGATTATATTGAAAAATAAAAGTGCAAAAGATATTCTGCGACTGGGTCTTATATTGAAGTTGCAAAACTTATTGAACGCCCCTCGTTACTTGATGGGCGTGTATTTTCTGTAACAAATAACCTAAAGATTAATAGAGACAAAATAAAAAATGTTGTGTTTGACAATTCAAGTAAAATTACAAAAATACTTTGACCGTTGGTGATACAAAATACCAGTTATTGATAGTTATAATTTCTTAGGAATTACATTTGAAGCAAATAGTAAACTTAAAAATAGTGCTAAACCTCTCCCTAAAAAGGCCCTTAGGCCTACCACAAGCTTCAGTCTCCATTTTTAACCAAGATATACATATAACTCCTGCTTCCAAATTATCCAAAACATTCATCAAGCCAGTAAACCTATAAGATTGTCAAATCTGGGGTATAGAATCAATCCTCCTGAACAACTCTGATTCATTCATCCTCGAGAAACTGCAGCTCAGAATTTTTACATCCATGACTGAAGGATTTGCAATGCATGTGGGCCGCCAACTGAGCGTCGACAGGTGTTTTGCAAATCTTTTCGTATTCTTAATCATAGTTCTCAAGTGATCTGATGCACTTCGCGAGGTAGGTCCCGTTTTATTACAATATAGATCCTGTTACATAATATTACCATAACACGCAAAAGACTGCTCACCCATACACGTACAATAACAGCAGTCAGGAGGAATAAGTAACACTGCTTGCTCCAACTTGCGTCGGTAAGTCACTGACAGTTCTCAAGGTTTCTTTTCAGTGTTTCGTAGTTTTTTTCCGCATCTCCAATACAATAAACCTCTCCTGCCTCGGTTCGTGGAACGAAATCTCGAATCCGACGCAAACAACTACCGTAAATTAAATTAAAATATAGATGAAAGCAGCCATGGCGGGTTCCAATTGGCGCGCGTATAAACGTACGCCAAAATGTCCGTCCATATTAAAGACTTCAAATGGTTTGCTTGTACCAACGCGGTCAAAAGAAAGGCACTGTTTGTAATATATCGTGATTCACTAAATTAATTAAAAAGTCGCCTTTGTGCAATGACCACACTATAACAAGCGGCTGATAGGCCTTGGATAACATTAGCGCTTAGGGGACAAGATGGCGCCCTTGTGTCAAGCTAATCGGCAGTGAAGGAGAGCAGAGCTCTGATTGGTTCAATGGCTCCTGGTCTGAACTATGCATTATCGATCAGATCGTCTTGACTTGGCGCTGCCATTTTGTTTGAAACAATTGCAAGTGATGTGAGAGGTGGAATTTGATTGGTCAGTAGGAGGGACATAGAAGGGTGTCGCTACGATCGAGCCATGTAAATCCCAGCCTTGTTCGGCAAGGATGGAAACTGGACTTTTATAGTCAGTTAACGCCCTTGCTTCGGGAAGATTAAAAAACCCATAATACTTTAGAAGGCTTTTGCTCAAGTACATCTTTTGAGAATAAACGAATAGAATGGGTATACCATCTCAATCTATTTTTAGAAAAAAATCAAATTTCCTATCACCAATATTCAAAGAGACAATAAAGTTTAAAGAAAACTCTTCATTTGCTAATGCAACTAAAGGCACAGGCTATGCAGAAACACAGTAATGCAGCAACACAGTAGCGCAGCAACACAGTAGCGCAACAACAAAGTAGCGCAACAACACAGTAATGCAGCAACACAGTAATGAGCAACACAGTAATGAGCAACACAGTAATGAGCAACACAGTAATGAGCAACACAGTAATGCAGCAACAGAGTAATGCAGCAACACAGTAACGCAGCAACACAGTAATGCAGCAACACAGTAATGAGCAACACAGTAATGAGCAACACAGTAATGCAGCAACAGAGTAATGCAGCAACACAGTAACGCAGCAACACAGTAATGCAGCAACACAGTAATGAGCAACACAGTAATGAGCAACACAGTAATGAGCAACACAGTAATGCAGCAACACAGTAATGCAGCAACACAGTAATGAGCAACACAGTAATGAGCAACACAGTAATGAGCAACACAGTAATGCAGCAACAGAGTAATGCAGCAACACAGTAACGCAGCAACACAGTAATGCAGCAACACAGTAATGAGCAACACAGAAATGCAGCAACACAGTAATGCAGCAACACAGTAATGCAGCAACACAGTAATGAGCAACACAGTAATGCAGCAACACAGTAATGAGCAACACAGTAATGAGCAACACAGTAATGAGCAACACAGTAATGCAGCAACAGAGTAATGCAGCAACACAGTAATGCAGCAACACAGTAATGAGCAACACAGTAATTTAGCAACACCGTTACGCAGCAACACAGTCGCACAGCAACACAGTAATGCAGCAACACATTAATACAGCAACACCGTAATGCAGCAACACAGTCGCACAGCAACACAGTAATGCAGCAACACAACACAGAAGCGCGGCAACACAGTAATGCAGCAACACAGTGTGTGTGTGCGTGTGCGCGTGCGTGCGTGCGTGCGTGCGTGTGTGTGTGTGTGTGTGTGTTGAAGCTTGAAAGGACAGTGAAACGAGGACATAAACTTTTGTTGCAAGATTGTAACTATAAACCATTGAAGAAAAATGAAAAGTGAGGTAATAAATGGGCTGACAATATCTAACTATTTTTTATTATCTTTCCTATCAATCAGACGTTCTGAAATACGACAATGTACATTCTGTCAAGACAACACGCTGGCAGGAAAGACACATAGATTGCGAATAGAGATGCTGCGATAAGATTGCACCTATACGTTCAAAAGGAGAGTGAAAAAATCGTATTTAGAAACGGATACAAATAATGTGAATCCGGGATTAAAAATACGTGAACTGTCTCCCACGTTTGACAATCTGTCAAAAACGGCACCCCACAGGTATTTTACCAGCGCTTGTGGCCTTCGATGTAGGCCCCTGTCTATATCGCCGTAGCTGACTCTGCGAAGAGACGTTTCACATCCATGACTCATGTCGAATAGTCGTTAGGAAATTTCAAAAAGAACATTTTGAACAGTTTTGTGATTTTTGCTTTCGAACTGCATCTGTATCAAGCATAGTTTTATTATATTGTGTACATGTGAGTGAGGCAGTATATCACCGCTTTGAACAGTTTAATCAGGACGTGTCAGCTTGATCTGGGAGTGAGTGAGTGAGTGAGTTCGGCTTAACGCCGCTTTTAATAATGTTCCAGTTATATCACGGCGTGTCAGCTTAATATGGGAGGAAAGCCCGAAGTAATGCAGGTCCCAGACGTTTACCACTTCGGAGAAACCCACAAGCACGGTAATGATGCTGACAAAACCTACAAACATAATTGGGGCGAACCGGGATTCGAACCCACAATCATAGGTTTCTGGCGTGCCAAATGGATGCAACTCTGCACAGCGAATCGCGGCGCCTTGGATTTACCCCCGTGTCCCCCGCTTGATGTGGGAATTATGCCGGAAGTGATACATACCTTAGACGTTTACCACGAGCATCGCAACAGTGATATTTATGAATAAAAGTGGCTTAAACCCATCCTCACATATTCCCTTCCTTTCATGCCACTGTCCCTCAAAGCAATCATATCGCTACACCGCGCTCAGCAATATTCCAGCTATCGGACAGCGATCTGTAAATGATCAAATCCGGACCAGTGATTGACCTGAACATCGATCAACGCAAGGAGACACGATGACATGACAAGACAGCCAAGTCGCCGAACCTGACAAGCCGAACCATTTAAGTGCCATTTACGACAAGCATAGGCTGCTGGGGACCTATATTCGCACCTGTAATCCACACGGGTCCTTTGAGCATTTGATTTACTAAATGTGGTCGGAGCACAGTGACATATAGCCGTGACCATCCTCACGTCACGCACTCAATGCAAAACAAAGTTTTTTGGCTACAAAATCGACAGACGATAGGGTTTTTCTAACAGGACTGTGGTTAGAAAGATTACGCCTGGCCTATTTATCTGCAGCGTCTTCAAGGGTGCAAGGTTGGTGTGTTTTCTCCGTATGCTACGTTCTTAATTTACAATTGTTCATAATATGTGTTGTTGAATGATTACTATGTGTCCAGTGTCTTGCATATATACATAAAATGATTCTGAACTCTGATAAAGGCAATCGCATCGGCGTTGAGACGAGTTGCCTTCTTGCTAGGGGTTAGTAAGATTAGATACAGACACAAAGAACGTCGATTTGAGTAACCGTTCTAAAGGAGAAGCCGATTTTTTATAAAACATAAAAAAACAGATTGATTGTTTTGTCATTATCTGGAACATAAATTTTTTCAATCAGAAAATCAACTCGTGAATATCCGGGGTAGAATAGGTCTTTGGTGCCGTAAGAGGTAGCTACGCTTGTCGTAAGAGGCGACTAACGGGATCGGGTGGTCAGGTTCGCTGACTTGGTTGATACATGTGATCGTATCCCAGTGGCGTAGATCGATGCTCATGATATCAATCACTGGATTGTCTGATCCAGTCTCGATTATTTACAGACCGCCATCATATAGCTGGAATATTGCCAAGTGCGGCGTTAAACAACAAACAAACAAACAAACAATCAGAAAATCCCCTTTGTTCAAATAAGAGTTTAAGTGGATTTAGGAAAAATATTTTAGAAGCCGGAGCCTCTAAACCCAAGCTAACCCAAAATGTCTCTATTTTGACCCATGTCCTTCCCATCACACTCCCCCAAACCTCAATCCCTCTGCTCAATTATGCCTTTATCCATCTGCTCAACTATACCTCAATTCATTTGATCAACTATAACTTTCCAGCCGATCAACTATTACACTATTCATCTGATAATCTATACCTCTATCCATCTGATCAACTATACCTCAATTCATCTGATCAACTATAACTTTCCAGCCGATCAACTATTACACTATTCATCTGATAATCTATACCTCTATCCATCTGATCAACTATACCACAATTCATCTGATCAACTATAACTTTCCAGCCGATCAACTATTAGACTATTCATCTGATAATCTATACCTCTATCCATCTGATCAACTATAACTCCAGTTCACACACCACGCCGCTTGTGCAGTAAACAGGCTGAACATACTATGACCCACAATCTAGGTGATACGCTCTAATACTTGACATGATTAAATTGTTTGGACTTCACATTTTTACAGTCCAACCACCTTGTGTTGGATTCTGCATAATACCAACGAAACATAGTCACACGTCTCAAGTCATTGTTAGTCATTGGAGTACACGTAGCAATGAGAACACACCCAGTCGTAATTCCCACACAATCTTCAACACCTGAGTGAGTGAGTTAGTTGTGTTTAACGACGCTTTTAACAGTATTCCAGTTATATCACGACGTGTCAGCTTAATTTGGAACGAAAGCCCGAAGAGATGCAGGTCCTAGACGTTTACCGCTTCTGTAAAACCCACGAGCACGGGTATGGTGCTGACAATCCTAGAAACATAATCGGGGCGAACCGGTATTCGAACCAACAATCATAGGTTTCTGGCGTGCTCAAGGGACGCAACTCTGCACAGCGAATTGCGGCGCCTAAGACGACTGGGCCACCCGTGTCCCCCTTCAACATTTGAAATCCTTTAAACATATTTACCACACTGTGAATAGGTGGCGGTATGTAATTCTTGATGGGGCCTTATATGGCATTGAAAGCGTTGTGTCTATTGCAGCTAGTACTTGCAAACACTTTTCCAGTGTTTCAAGCGTTTTCAAACACATGTTTGTTCCGGTTACAGATGGGTTCCCTTGCATGTATAGCTACATGCATGTACGTATCCTTGGCATGTTTGCTTTTCGCTGATGGAATGAAGACCCCTCACGTGTGTTCCCTATGCACGTGTGACACAGACATAAGTTACAAAGGGGTAATGGTCAACTGCATGGGACTGCGCTTAAAGGGCCTTCCTGTTCAGCTTCCCGTCAATACCACGACATTACTTCTCAGCAACAACGAGGTGACGAATCTGACAGAACAGATGTTTCAACGTTTCCCTCATCTTCGAGCTCTTGACCTCTCTCATAATTCGATCGTCACGATCCATGAAAATGGCTTTAAAGGAATCTCAAAGCTGAAGAAGCTAAACCTACAGTTCAATCAGTTGGTGCTGGACTCGCAAACGTATCACCCGAACGTGTTCAAGGATCTCACGGAATTAGAAGAATTAAGTATCGTGGATAACGTTGACAACAGAGTCCACCCTCACGACACATACCCAGACCAGAGTTTTCAACACTTGACATCCTTGAAGGTGCTGTATCTTGATGGACTTCCGACTGACTTTGGTCCTGGATTTGGTCAATTGAGGAATCTGAGGAATCTGACTTTATCAGGGTATATGACGTACTGTTATCTACCCGTGCTGCAGAACACCACATTCACAAATGTACCAACAGTTCAACATCTTAACATCAGCAACTGTCGCATCCGTAACTCAGACCTCCTTACATTTCAACCAATGAAACTTCTTAAATCAATAGACATGTCAGACAATGACAATCTTGGCTTCACCAACTTCACCAATGCTACCTATGGACTACAACATTCGTCTTTAGAAAAACTGAAAATTAACCGCATATACCGTGTGTATGATGTATGCACGCACTTGGAAGCCAACCACATTAAGCACCTTGCAAACACAACGCTGAAGGAGCTCTACATGGACGGAAATGGAATCATTGTAGTACAATCTGAAGCTGTTTCTTCTTTGCCGAAAAGTATTGAGACATTATCAGTTCGTGCTAATAAATTTCAGTATGGACAGTACATGATGTTAGGGAATGAACTTGAGAACTTGAAGGTTCTAGATGTTTCTGAAATTAACAAAATGAAACCAATGCCATTTTTTAAGCGAAGTGCCAAGTCAGTTCCATACTTTCTCTCGGCATATATATCCGTTCCTCCAAAGCTTGAAATTCTTATTGCGTCAGAATGTTATTTCAGAGGTGAAATCACTCCAGGGGGCCTTATGCGCAATAACATCAAACAAATAATTGTTGATAATAACTTCTTTACAGCCCTGCACGGACCCATCGCTGGTCTTGAAAAAGTCGAGTTTTATGACTTCTCGAACAACATCCTTGAAGAAATTGGAATGAATTACTTCTCTGAAAACAATTCAGTTTCCAAACTGAACCTTACAAACAACATCCTTGGAGGAGCTCTAGCAAAAGATACAAAGGGGTATATGTTTCTCAGGCTAACCAAAGCCCGTATCATTGACCTTTCAATGAATAGAATTGCATTCCTACCAAGACACATATTCACAGGACTGAGGAGCGTTGAGGTGATAAACCTGAATGATAACTATCTGCAGTCATTTGAAGTTGACCTCCCCATCACTCTGAAACAGCTTCACCTGTCAGGGAACAAAATACAAATGTTGTCTCCAGATGTTCTGAGAAATTTGGACAATTTACCCAAGTTAAAATTGTACCTACAGTTCAATCCAATATCATGCACATGTCAGGGGGTGGACTTCTTAAAATGGTTGAGTGAAAACAAACATCGTATACATGGCCTCGAACATATGACTTGTGAACTTGAACCTGGCCATGAGATTCCTTTGTCCAATTTTGATGCTATTATTCAAACCCTCAGCAAAAGGTGTAACCTTGGAAACGTGATAGCAGTGGCCACCTCGTTGTCCCTTTTCATATTTATCCTTGGAACCATTGGCGTTACCATTGGTTATCGCCACAGATGGAAGATAAGGTACCTCTACTATGTAAGTAGAAGCAAGTATCGAGTTCAACACGCTGTAGACGATGATGGTAGGGGTGCGTTCCAGTACGATGTTTTTGTTTCGTATGCGTCCAAAGATAGGGTATTTGTCACTGGCTCCTTGCTCCCAGAGCTTGAAACGAATCGGGAACTGCGAGTGTGGATACACGACAGAGACTCCACTCCAGGTGATCAAATAGCTGACACCATTGTTGACGTCATAAGAAGGAGCCAGAAGACGCTGATCGTTTTGTCACCGTCTTTCCTGGATAGCCACTGGGGGGAGTTCGTCTTCAATATGGCCCGCATAGAAGGGAATGATCGTCGCCATAACACATTGGTTGTTGTTATGTATAAATATGCACCAATCAGGTGTTTATGGAAGGATATCTCGGTGATGATACGAAACAACAATTATCTGGAATATCCAGAAGACCCCGTTGGGAAGGACGTTTTCTGGGGCAATGTGGCGGAAGCTATCAGATCTTGACTTTCAGTAGAAACTGTGAGTGCGCTGCAAGATGTTTATGAATGTTTTCAAATAATCCAACATATATTTGACTTCCTATTATATATCTGTTATTGTCTTTTTGTAATGTATATTGTTAAGCTTCTGAGTGCGTCGTTTTCTAGCTGTTTGATCACGTTATTCAAACTTTTAAGTAAAAGTAGTTCTACATTGTTGTATAAGCGATAGACTGATGATGAATGAATAAAAAATTTGCATGACTTGTCATATATTTTCTAAACCTTTGGGCTCATCAAAACTAGGACATATGTGCGTGTATAAGATTGCCTCGGTCACTTGTTGAGTACCCGTGAAGACCCGGGTTCGAATTGATCTTCAAAAACTGAAAAAACATGTTTGCCGTAAGAGGCGACTAACGGAATTCGGTGATCAGGCTTGTTGGCTCAATTGATGCATGTCATCGAATCCCAATTGCGTAGACCTATGCTCAAGATGTGAATCACCGGATCTGGTTTAAACACGATTATTTGCAAACCACCGTCATATAACTGGAACATTGCTGAATGCAGCAACAACAAACAAATAAGTAAACACAACTTGAGCTGGGTTGTGATGTTTGAGTTGGGTTTAACGCCGCTTTTAACATTATTCTTGTCAGCTTAATGTGGGAAGAAAGCCCGAAGTGATGCAGGTCTCAGACGTCCACTTCGGCGAAACCTACGAGCACGGGTAAGGTGCCGACAAACCTAGAAACATTATTGGGGCGAACCGGGATTCGAACCTACAATCATTGGTTTCTGGCGTTCCGAAGGGACGCAACCCTGCACAGCGAATCGCGGCGCCCTGTCCCCGGGTTGTGATGAAACTGAAAAGAATGTGTTCTTGTTTGAATTTAGACCAAATATCTAATACTTCCGAACATTCCTGTGATATTTTCTTAAGAACATCTAATGCAAGTCACCTTCGTTGACAAATTTATAGGGTGAAAGTATTAATCATTTCGTAAATTAATCATTTGGAAAAGTTGAAATCATGTTGCGACGGTTGCAAATTGTCACTGTCAGCAGCATTTGGAAAGTTCAAGGTGACTCTGCTCAAAGACGTTTACCCCTTTGGTGAATCCGCGAGATCGGGAAGGGTTCTGACGAACCGAGAACCAAAACTTGGATAGAAATATAGAATCAGCGAATCCTGACACGACCAATGGACTCATCCCAACACCTTATCCACAAAATGTTAACAGGGGCGGTCGGGTAGCCTAGTGATTAAAGCGTTCGCTCGTCACGCCGAAGACCCGTGTTCGATTCCCGACATGGGTACAATGTGTGAAGCCCATTTCTGGTGCCCCCCCCCCCCCCCCCCCCCCCCCCATGATATTGCTGGAATATTGCTAAAGGCGGCGTAAAACCAACTCACTCACTCACTCAAAATGTTAACTGAAATCGCCCTGGAGTTAAAAGTCTCATATTTATAGCTGAAATCATAATTTAGACATTTCAAGTTACTTCACAGTGGTGAAAAGTAAACTTTTTCTCCAGTACAAATAATTTGCTAAAGTGCGACACACATAAAAATAGCTTCTTTGTCCTGAAGATATATCGCGTCAGGTCCTGACCCAAGGTGCATGGCCTAGTCTCCCCGTGTCTTTCAAATGCCTTGTCCGATCAAGTCACAATGGCACGAGTTTAACCTCAACGCCCCGTTCGATTCATGCATGCGCTTGCATATTTATGCGTGCAAGTGTATCATTTCCCAAAGTGTCCAAGATACCATTTTCAAAAAGGATTAACATACTGTAAATGACGCACCACCTTGATATGAACGCTTCATGTTTCATCCTTACCATTGACTAGCCTGACTTTGCAGTATTTGTTTATAAACGGACTTGGGATTTATAAAAAGAAGTCACCTATTCCAGAAATTTCTGGAAATGAATAATTTATCCTCAGACCATCACGGGACATGCTGAATGTTCTGACAGGATTGTGAAATTCTCCTGTGTTGTCTCCTTTCAGAGAAAATACATTTCTCCTCCTTTCAAAGAAAACAATTGTAGGTTTCGAAAGATGCTTAGAATAATCGCCTTAAATGAGGAATAATAAAAAAAACTGTGTGGTGCCTATTTACAATCCAAGTATATACGTCGGAGTCAAGGCCCTGGCTGAGATATTATCTGTGTGTAATAATGATTAGTGATTAGTTTCGGATAGATGATGATTTGGGATATGTGGTTGTGGAGGGAAGGCGTTGTTGACATGGGACTGTAAAAAAAAGTCATCATCATTAATAATAGTCATTTATCGTGGTTTCTACCTTCCTCAATGACTCATATGAACGCACAGCTCACCATAGTAAAGTCTCAAACAAGTAATATCAGATTGTTTCACCAATCTGGATATAACCACCAGATGATAAATGTATTTATTATCCTAAGTAACATCGTCTATCTGTAATACCATGACGATCCTCCCTTACAATCTGAAAAGCAACAAATCACATAATGTATTTTTAACTTCAATCCCAAAGAGATATCAAACATTTAAGGAGAAGCACATCACGTGATTCCCACCGGCCTCACAACCCGACAATGCCTTCTTCCTGTCACTGTAAGGGGTGAGGTGAAATGTGGTTTACCGTCGCGTACAATGTTATCTTGACCGGGGAAGCATTCACAATTACACCACTGAGGCTTGAGGTAAGAATGCGTCAGAGGGTTTGTAACGCCATTGTCAACAAAATTCAACTTTTATCAGCTCGACCTCTAAATATTCGAATGTGGAACGACTCAGTGAATAAAAGCCTGCACAAATGATCCAAGCCACTATGCAGGCACGTGACAAATCCAGGTAAAACTATCCTCAGTTCACTCGCATGATACACTCGAGATCCTTTCTGACCCGCAGCTCCCACATGGCCTTGCACCCATCAAATGCGGATTATATAGACCAGCCTACATGTCACTGCATACACTGTTATATATACACATATCTGCATACACTTGCCTCACCATACACTTATACCAAACCAACGTACATTACTATACACAAAGATTAGATTGACTGGCCCTACGAGCGTTAGTTTTAAAACCCTGGTAACACAAGGTAGGAAAGACTTATGTGGTTTGCAAGAAGGCATCTCTGACAATAAGAAAAATAAATCATTATCCTGTTTAGAGATTTTAATCATGATACGAACAAAAACTCAGAGGCAGTGTATTTGTGCAATGTTACCACAATAAGTATGGCGGGATGGAGTCAGGAACACACTTCCAAATCATGATTAATGATGAAAAATGTCATTTTCAGTCCAAAGATGACATTCATGACACAAACCATCAATAGCGGGTAAACCCACAAGCTGCCCGGATGACAACTGCCAGCCTTTATCTCATCCCTCAAGTAAGTCCTCTGATTTGCTAAATAGGCAACTGCAGCCGTTCCCGGTGAAGGGTGCCTCCAATTGAACCAGACTCTGTATTGGTAGGTCCAGTGCCAGTACTCGACGCCCCAAGATGTCCCAAATATGCTCCAATGGGTTCAGGTCAGGGCTGATTGCAGTCAACGGCAGTGTCGTCACGGTGTCATTCTGGGGATAAGCTGTTACTGCTCAGGAAAGATGTGGCCCTGCTTCGTCATCCATGTACACAGCTCGGGTGACGAGTGGGTGGTTGTAGAAATTTTGAATTACATCTGGTTGCAGGACGTTACGGATGTACCGATCACATTGAGATTTCACTGGATGGTGACAAGACCCCGCTTACAATCGTGTGACAGGCAACCCCAAACCTTTACTGAACCTCACCCATACGGGGTTGTAGGTCTTATGTTCGAGGGCGTGTATCATTATGGCTCACAACGCTCAATCGGCTATCTGTAACATAGAGTAGGACCAATGGATTCTTCCTCAAGTCCTCAGATTCCGATATATATGGGCCAAACACCATGCTAAACGAATTCTCCGACTATGGTCGGCAAGGAGGGGACGTTTGATGTCGCTTCTGACTTCATTCCTGCCGATTTCAGTCGATTCCTCACTGTTCTGGTTGACATTCGACTATTGACTGACCACTGGCGCTTCAGAACAGATGTTGCATTTGTAGGCCGACGTACCAGCAGAAGTAGGGCCATGTTTTCACGGGCAGCATGCTGCACGTGCATGTCGTGCTGCGATGTAACGTCACAGTTGGCATTTTACTGTCCCATCATTTCGACGGAACACCAGTGATTGATTGATCATGGGCATCGGTCTAAAAAATTTGGGGATTCGATTACATGCATCAACCAAGTCTACGAGACTGACCAGCCGATTCTGTTAGTCGCCTTCTACGTCAAGCATGGATGGCTGAAGACCGATTCTGACCCGGATATTCACGGGTGTACCGCTATGTAGATACAGGAGATATGTACAAGACGATTGTTTTGTGGTAAAAATAAACATGTAGAAGCGAAAATTATGAATGAATATTATTCAACGCCGCACTCTGCTATGTTCCAATTATATGAAATATTGTTATGACTGCAATTCGCTTTTTTTTACATGTACTATATGTTGCCGTATTTGTTCAGATGAATACTTGACTTGTCGTTGCATGTGTTTGTTACATGCCACCGTTTGGGCAGGTTACGCTTACACTTTCGAGAACACCTGGTGTTATCACTGATTGATAGTGATTCTTAACAGATGCTTATGTTATAGTTGGAATCGTATAACTGACTCTTGACAGAGATTTCTTGTCTTTGTTTGTTTGTTTGTTCGTTGTTTAACGCCGCATTTCTTATGATTAAAGAAAGGGTTTTGTCGTTTTTCTTTCCACATACTTCTTATAATAAGATGGGATGAAGCTCGCCGTCTTGTGTGAACACAAACTTTATTTGTTTGTTTGTTGTTTAACGCCGCACTCAGCAATATTCAAGCTATATGACGGAGGTCTGTAAATAATCGAGTCTGGACCAGACAATCCAGTGATTGACATCATGACAATCGATCCACGCAATTGGGATCGATGACATGCATCAACCAAGTCAGCGAGCCTGGCCACCCGATCCCGTTAGTCGCCTTTTACGACAAGCATAGTCACCTTTTACGGCAAGTATGGGTTGCTGAAGACCTATTCTACCCCGGATCTTCACGGGTCACACAAACGTTAGGGTAGGATTCTTTTCAGTAGCACTACACATAAACTGTTTACTATTCTTGTGAAACAGTGTGAACATATGAGACAATTGTTGTGTTAGTGCCTTTTTCTAACTGGGAATTTAATAATAATAGGTCCGTCCTACTTCATAACTGCCGACTTAACGTCTTGCAAAACTGCCTTCAGTTGCAGTGGGCTATTATCGCAATCCAGACTCAATCCGGGTTGAGAAAAGGTCTTCAGCAACCCATACTTGTCGTAAGAGGCGACTAACGGGATCGGTCGGTCAGGCTCGCTGACTTTGTTGATTCATGTCACCGTGTCCCTGATCGATGTTCATGATATCAATCACTGTCTGGTCAAGCCTCCATTATTTACTGATCGGCGTCATGTACCTGGAATATTGCTGAGTGCGGCGTTAAACAAAACAAACAAACAAACAACAGCAATCCACTATGTCAAAGTACATCTTCATTTCATCTTCTTCAAAACTCTTCATCAGCGATAGGTTTCGAATTATCTAAATGCTTTCTCTACACATGCTATTATTAGTTGGTAAGACGCACACAGGGAGGTCATATACACAACTCCATTTGTTTTGCCGTTGTCTTCACAACACAGAATAGGGGGCACGGGTGGCCCAGTCGTCTAAGGCGCCGCGATTAGCTATGCAGAGTCGCGTCCCTTGGGCACGCCAGAAACCTATGATTGTGGGTTCAAATCCCGGTCCATTATGGCTCGATTATGTTTCTAGGTTTGTCAGCACCATAACCTTGCTCGTGGGTTTCACCGATGTGGTAAACGTCTGAGACCTGCATCACTTCGGGCTTTCCTCCCACATTAAGCTGACACGCCGTGATATAACTGGAATACTGTTAAAAGCGGCGTTAAACCAAACTCACTCGCCCACTCACAACGTCGAACAACAAACAGTACATCCCTTTGCTTTTGCTGACAGCATGTATTTATATACGTAAACTTAATATCATTACCAAAGGTTTATATAATACTCTATTGGTCAACAGTACCCGCATCTATGTTATTCAACACCACGGGATTGTCCAGGGCATACCGAGAGGGCTTCCGTTCCTTCCTCTGACAAAGTCTGCTTGATATGTCAGTGTCGTATGAAGGAGATATTGGGAAGAAACTACAACAGCTGAGTCTGCTTAGGAGCGAGGTGATATATGGCAGCTTGTAGGGGTCATCTTTACACAGATCTTGAGTTGCTTGTCCTGATATACTGTCACGCCACCCTGACAGGCCTCGTTCTTCTGGAGTACCTGCAATGCATTCAAGTACAGTAAACTACGGTTATAACGAACTCAAAAGGACTACTAATTTTAGTTCGTTATAACCGTAGTTCGTTATAAGCATATATACAGCATAACTACAGCAAATAGTCGGGACCAAAAAAGTAACTTCGTTATATCCGTCAGTTCGTTATAAGCGTGTTCGTTATAACCGTAGTATACAAATTTGCAAACAGTCTTGGACCAATGTGGCGTGAGGAAATAGGCGACGGAAGACATATATTTCATAAATTCATAATTATTAACCATGCGTCCTTAATTACCCTTTAACGTTATTAAGCATTGGACAATGTACTCATATATCATTTTGAGATCAGATCTAATAGTAGTGACTGTTGTCATTTGGTGATTGATATTATGAGCAACATTCCACGCCGTCATGGTACGACAACACGACTTCAACCAACTCACCGAGTGAGTGAGTATGGTTTTACGCCGCTTTTAGCAATATTCCAGCAATATCGCGGCGGGGGACACCAGAAATGGGCTTCACACATTTTACCCATGTCGGGAATCGAACCCGGGTCTTCGGCGTGACGAGCGAACGCTTTAACCACTAGGCTACCCGACCGCCCCTTAAATCAAATAATAACAAGACAGCAAAATATTGTCTCACCTGGAGCTAGATTATCAAGGGTGCAGCCAACAAAACTTGACACAAACATAGGGGTGGACAGCAGAATGACGATCACCTGGTCAAGTCCTTTATTTCCTGATGTGAAAAGAGCATGATGACAAATGTGTGAATGAGTGTATTTTATTTATATCAGGGCGTGTCATCTTGATGTTGGAGGAGGCCCGAAGTAATGTAGTTCTTGGACGTTTACCACGAGCATAGTAAAGGTGCTAACAACTCTAGAAACATCAGGCCGAATTTCAGAATCGACCAACGACTCAAGATTTCTGGTATGTCTAAGGAACAGCGAATTGCACCCAGTCTCCACTTACAATAAGTATATTTTGCTTGGATCCAACAATGACAAAATTACCCCCCACGGGACGTTGTATGGTGTGTACCTGTATTGATGGAGTCACTGTTGTTGTCCACCCACCTCGGCAGCAGCAGGCCCTGAGCCAGGGAGAACCCTATGATCATCAGGTTCCGGGAGGATGCTAGGTTCACTAACCGGAACATGGACACGCCCATGGCAATAACCATTCCAAGAGTCACCAATCCGAGTCCACCAATCACAGGGTCAGGAATAAGAACAAAGACAGCTCCGAACTTGCCAATGACGCCCCCGAGGAGGGTGATGATGGCAGCTGTCATGAACACAGCACGGCTGGCCACCTGGAGGCGATACATAGTGCTGTAGGGAGTAACCATTGTGATTGGTGGTGGTGGTGATGGTGGTGGTGTGTGTGTGTGTGTGTGTGTGTGTGTGTGTGTGTGTGTGTGTGTGTGTTACTTTTTCCATTGCAGACATACTTTATTTTCTTATAATTAATGACACTATTAAATGTTTTTAGAAAACATCTTCTCACAAATTTTTTTTGAAATGGTCGCTTCATTACTAGGACTGGGGCTTGGGGCAACTGGAATTCTACCATCTGGTACTTACACAATACCAAGTATTATGAAATTGATTCCGTTGCAGTTAGGCTAGTGAGATCAAGGTATTTTAAGTTTTCCACCTACATAAACTGAGGGTAAAAGAAAGAATACGTCACCATCGAATAACAATTTCGTGTTTGTTTCGTTTTTAGTCACCATCAAACATGGGTGTATACTTAGTTTTGCCCGGAAGTTATGTTCTGGGGTGAAAATATTTTGCCCTACTCCGGTGTAACAGAACACAACCTGATGACAAATTAAATTCTAAGATCAGTGTCCAAGAAACACTTCCCTATATGTGGTACCTCTGTTGCCCTCGGAAGGAAGGGCAAAGAATGTATGGTTCCTACAAGTACTTTCGTCAAGGATTCTTGATCATAAGGACCTATCCTTGTAACAGCTTCCAGATCATGAAGACCTAACCGTGTGTCAGTTCCCGCACCAGGAAAATCTACCCTTGCTGTGCCTCCAAGATGGTGACCCGTGAAGACCCGGGATAGAATAGGTCTTCAGCAACCCACACTTGCCGTAAAAGGCGACTATGCTTGTCGTAAAAGGCGACTAACGGGATCGGGTGGTCAGGCTCGCTGACTTGGTTGATGCATGCCATCGATTCCAATTGCGTGGATCGATGTTCATGATGTAAATCACTGGATTGTCTGGTCCAGACTCGATTATTTACAGACCGCCGTCATATAGTTGGAATATTGCTGGGTGCGGCGTTAAACAACAAACAAACAAACAAATCCAAGATGGTGAATAGCTAGCCTTGTTGTAGCTCCCAGATCATGAAGGGTTATCCTTGTAACGACTCTAAGATCGGGAAGACCGACCCCTCTAGCAACACCCTTACTACCAATCCTTATGGCAGCTACCAGATCATGAAAACCTTCCCATTGGGTTGCCACCTGAATATGAAGGTACATCCTAGTGACCGCTACTTAATTATGCATTTCTATCCTTTGTGGCAGCTCAAATAATTATGAATACCAAAAATTATGATGGGTCAGAGATCAGGAATACATTGTATCTACCCTTGTAACGATCCCCTGACCATGAACATCTATGCTTGTTGTAGCTTGTTGTATATAGTTTGCTGCTGTGAGTTTATTTACAAACGTATTTATGAACATGACAAACTTCATCGCTTGAGAAGTTTCGGGATGGGACAGTTTCTAGAAGGCTGGCTGTACCTATATTTAGATTGACATGAAGGCATTTCGAGGCCTCTTAGGACCTGCATCTCATCTTCTTTCCAAGTGCGGATGGAATACCCTTTCTCCGAAACTTGTTGTGGAACATGTGTTTGAGAAGGAACGTTTGTGTGATTAATCTTTGACGAAAAATCCCAAAGTTTGAAAACATTGAGAGAATTAGAAATCCAAACGTAAAGAGGGGAGAAAGAATTCTGATTGAAGTAACTGGAATTGCAAAAAGAAATATTTCCTCACAGAATGATCAAAAAGTCTTTCCTTTTACCTTTGAGGCGGCTACGAGATCATGAATACCCACTCTTGTGATTGGCCACAGTTCCATGAGTTTTATCCTTGTGAGGGATGCGATATCCTGACTACCCAACTTTGCAACAGACCTCAGTTTCGTGTGTTTACCTTTGTGACAGCGATAAGGCCCAGGCTCTGCACGAAAACAACACTTGCACACACGCCCCCCAGCATGCCGCTGACAGCGCCAGACAACCCGTCCACTGCCATACCTCTGTTGATGGCGTGGGAGGGTGGGGGAGGCATCTCTGCTCCACGAGCAACAGTTTGATAGACGCCAGGAATTTGAATCACCATTGTCATAGTGATGGTTAACATGGACACATAGCCTGAGCCACTGATGGTTGGTGGGCCATAGTGAACTGCAAATGCAATAACACATCCAGTATACAAATGATACGCCATTTAAAGCTAAGAAAATTTAAAGCTAATAATTTCAAGAATATGTAATGTATTAATAACAATTCAGGTTGAGTGAGTGAGTTTGTTTTTACGCCGCTTTTAGCAATATCCCAGGAATATCACGGCGGGGGACACCACAAATGGGCTTCACACATTGTATCCTTGTCGGGAATCGAACCCGGGTCTTAGGCGTGACGAGCGAACGTTTTAACCACTAGGCTACCCGACCGCCCCTTTTTCTATCTCGAATTGACATGCAAGTAATGTTAAGTAACGAAAATCACATTATATATAAAATTAAGTGGATGATTTAGTTTGAAACTCAACAATTAACCATATGTTTGTTTTTAACTTTGAGGAACGCGATTTGTTCTCATCAGTTTTACCTACATGGTAAAGGGAAGTAAAACCACCCTGCATCGTACAGGGCGCTCATTCTGACATCTGTTCTGGCCATGTGACCATGCATGGTCGAGTTGCTAGGCAATGTGTCTGTCACAGTCAAAACGTGGCATACCAGGAAGGATCCAGCCAGTGCTAAAAGCATCTGTTAATGAAACATCTGTTAATGAAACATCTGTTAATGAAACATCTGTTAATGAAACATCTGTAAGACCCGAAGAAAACTGAACTTTCATTTCTGGCAGACAATCATAGAATCTTGAAGCAATTCGTTTTGCAAAGAGAGATCAGTTTCAAAAGCTTTGATTATTGTGATTATAAGAATAAGTATACTGTAACTAATAACATTATTTTGAAGAATTGTATCCAAAGTGTACAGTGTACCCGAATCAGATGGATAGTGAGTAATTATTTCATCAACTTTTTTTAAAAAATCTACAAAGTGAATGAAATGGCATTAAGCAATGATGTAGTGTTTGTTTGTTTGTTTGTTTGTTGTTTAACGCCGCACTCAGCAATATTCAAGCTATATGACGGCGGTCTGTAAATAATCGAGTCTGGACCAGACAATCCAGTGATTGACATCATGAGCATCGAGCATCCACGCAACTGGGATCGATGCCATGCATCAACCAAGTCAGCGAGCCTGACCACCCGATCCCGTTAGTCGCCTCTTACGACAAGCATGGGTTGCTGTGGACCTATTCCAACCCGGATCTTCACGGGTCTAATGATGTGGTGATGTATTTACTGTGTACACACTATTTGTCGAATACTTACAGCGTTGAGCTGAAACAAAGGGTACCACGTAGCGTGGCACTTCTCTCCATTATAAGCTGGAAACGGAAGTTTCACTTTGACGAGAAAAAGTGAGAACACTATGATCAGAAACGTTGACCTGTGGAATGATAAAAACACTGGTTACGGGAAAACAATAATACAATAACAGATGTTTAAGATGCACAAATGCAATTGTGGACAACTGATTTGATTTTAGTCGCTTTGTACTCCTGTCCGAAACCAACCCTCAGGGAATGCGGAGAACAGGGATGGTTAATGGCACCATTGCTGGATTGAAATAGATGAAAATGTTTTAATTAATAAAAGGTCACGCTTGTCAAATGATGAGTGTTTTTGTGAATGGTCTTATGCACCGTTATTTGCTGTGCAGAGATGCATCTCCCAGGAGTGTCAGGATTCAGTGATAGTGGGTTCGAATCCAAGGCACGTCCATGTTATGATCCTTAGATTGTCAGCAACCATACCCATGATCGTTGGTTTCACCAAAGTGGAAAAAGAGTATGACCTAACTCACTTTGGAATCCCAATAACCAAATCAGTCCGTCTGTCATTTGTGATACCACCCCACAACATGACACTACCGTCCACCATACCTATCATGGTCTTGATTTGTCGCCCTTTCATACCGCTCGCCACTACGTCGTTAACAACACTTTCTGACTTGATTCGTCTTTAAATATGGTTTACGCAATTGACGCACAGCCAATCTTTGCCACCTATAGTAAACTGTTAGGGTCACATCCTTCACTTTACGCCTAATTTTTAGGCGGGATGCATAGATCAGGTTTTTAACGGTAGATGGGGAAATTCGCCTTCCTGTTATTGTAAGGAATTCTCTATTGATACCAGGAGCAGATTTGGATCTATTCCGTAGTGCAAATAATGTAATGTGACGGTCTTGTCTAGGTGTCCTTTCTTGGGCCTACTGCCTTTCTTAGGTCTCATTGCAACCCCTTCCATTTGAGGGTACTTGTCCCATTTTTACACGTTTTGCATACTGTAACACATCTTGATTTGCCAAACATTCGGGCACTTTGGGAAAATGTCATCCTCCCAACACACCCGCACACGCACACGCACACACATACACGCTAACCCACACACACACGCACACACACACGCACACACACACACACACACGCGCTAACACACACGCGCACACACGCGCACACACACACACACACGCGCGCGCGCGCGCGCGCGCGCACCCCCCTGACTACTTACATGCTTGCTATGCCCCAGTGTTGTTCACACAGAGGTATCATGTACCCACAGAGTGTCACCCCAAGGGTGGTTACACCTGGCGCAACTGTCAGAGGCCCAATGAACTTCATGATGAAACCAAGGATCCCCGAGACTCCAAGAAGAAACTGAGTTCCAGAAGCCAGCATCAGGTTGCCCTGGATCTAAATACGACAATGTGTTCATGGAGTGTGTGATATTCAAGGAGGTTGGAAGAGAGATGGAGATAGTAAGAATCCTGTACACTTTCCAATACACATATATACATAAATGCATATTTAGTAGTCATATTCTGTATTTTACTCAAATGTTGATGGATGGATGGAGTTGGGGATTTAACGTGCGCTTTCCGACTAAAAGCGTATGTCGCACACGGGCTCAAATGTTGTACATGATCTAATAACGATGTAGCTAGTAGCGAATTAAATATTTCTCATATCACAGTGGTATTAGTGACATTTTTAACAACCTCTCTCAGCCGTATCTTCCATGGCGATGTCCCATTTCCTTCAGCATGTTCCCGGAGTGACTCTGTGGAAATAAACACGACCAGGAAACATATCTCAAATTCTGCACTCGATAATTGATTTATAACATCATACAAATTTATTCTGAAGTTTCCTTCGGTATCATCTGGTAAAACAAGATTCTTGAAAAAACAAACTTGTTTCTGATTTGAAATTAAATGGGTTACTTTGCGCGAGTAAAACGTTCTGTTACGGAACTAATCACTAATCAAACTATTGTTTTATGCACAATATCCACCTCCTCCAGGTTATTAAAATGGTATTTGTCCTTTGATGGTAGGCGATAATATCCCGTTTTATCAATATACTGTATGAACGTTTACCATCTGACCACTTGGGGTCACTCAGGGTGGCAGCGATAGCTATGATAAATGCACTGTTGGATCCCTGGACAAGTGGCAGTCTGAAGCAGCGAGAAGATCAGTGTGAACATTATTAAAGGATGATGGAGACACAGTCTGTACATGTCCTGTTGTCTTCAAAATCCTAACATCCCTTAAATACTTAAAGATAACTATTCCCGAACTTATATTCTCGAGACAACTGTGCAGTTCCATTGGAATTCGGGTAACCCAACGCAAAGTAGTCTAAAGAGCTGCAATTCACTGTACATATTTGCATTGCTAAGACATGCCCAAAACCTATGATCGTGGGTTCGAATCCCAGATTGGCACTAATTATGTTAGTCAGCACTATCTATACCCACGTTCGTGGTTGTCTCCAAAGTAGTAAACGTTTATGACCTGCATCACTTTAGACTTTCTTCACATGAAGCTGACACGCCTTTATACAACTGAAATACAAAGCAGCGTAAACAAACAAAGAACACTCATTTAGTCTTGATTAGGAATGATCGTAGGACGTGGAGCACATTCCTTCCTTAAGGAAGGACGTTCCACGATGGAGGTGTGTTCAGGAAACGCCGAATGAGAATGTACCTGCCTTGCTTGCAAGTTAAAACAAAATGGCTGAATTATTAGACCAATTCTTTGTTAAGGAGATATTGTTCTTGATGTCAAGAATGCGACAAGGAAAACGTGGCTGTAGGGTCTTGGCGGACAAGGGACCGACCACTTATTATTCTGGTGGAGAGGTTGTTATTTTTGTGAGAAACACATATTTCTCTGAAACCAGGAGCAGAATGATTCTTTAAACAACACAGTTTCTTCAAGTCGTCCAGCACGTCCACGGAACAATTTGTGGTAAAATCCGAGGCAAAATTATTTTGTCCTGTATTTTCTGGAACAAATAATTTTTTCTTATACCCCATTCCACTAAGCAGCGCTCTGAGGCGCTCTAACAAAGCACTAAGATCTTCAAAAGCTTTAATGGATCGCTATCTGATCTCTAACGGATCTACATGATCGTCGCCTGTCGACTCCCCTGCACAAAGATCCGCGGTGCTCCGCCCAGAATGCCGTCAGATCGCTACTTGATCGCCGAGATCGCCGAGATCGCCATCACAGTGCTACTTGATCGCCAAGCTCGTAATCAGAGTGCTATTGTATCACCTTAGAGCGCCGGCGATCGCCACGAAATCCGGCCTTCCGATCAAACGTGTTCCTAGGTGCTGTGTGGCAATCTGATTGTGCTCGGATTGTGCTTCACAGATTGGTAAGCGATTTATACCCCCATTCCACTAGGCGGCGATCCACGGCGCTCCGTGAGAGTGCCATAGAGCGCCATATAGAGCACCAAGATCGCCAAAAGCGCCAAAAGCGATAACGGATCGCTAACAGATCGCTAACTGATCTCCATGATCGCCAAGGTCGCCGCCGGTTGACTCCCCTGCACAAAGTTCCGTGGCGCTCCGCCCAGAGCGCCATCAGATCGCTAATTGATTGCCTAGATCGCCATCGGAGCGCTATCGGATCACCATAGAGCGCCGCCGATCGCCACAAAAGCTGGCCTACCGATCTTCGGCGCTCCATGGCGATCTGATGGCGCTCCTCGGAGATGCATTGGCGCTCCGATTGCGCTCCGATGGCGCTCCGATTGTGCTTCACTGTTTGGTTCACGATTTGGAGCGCCACCCTGTGGCGCTCTGTGGCGCTCCAATGGCGCTCCAATGGCGCTCCAGGGTCTCACCCAAAAAGCCTTCCTTCTCCTTCTTCTTGGAGGCTGCTGGGCCAGAATAGCAATCTGCTGGTTCACGATGGCATGGTTCACGAGATTGTAAATCACTTGTAATATGGCAGCATCTCTATGGTTCATGGTGATACCCGTCTGCTGCTAAGCACAGAACTGAAGAGCGCGGCTGAACGCCACAGGTTTTTATATGATCGGGCCCCTTTGCGGCGATCAGGTCGCAATCGGATCGCCTAGAGCACTACTTGAGCTCTAACAGATCTTTATAGATCGCACTCGATCGCTATCGGATCAGAGAAGAGCGCCATAGATCACAATGATCGCCATCGGATCGCCAATAGAGCGTCATTGGAGCGCATCCTGATCACATTGGATCGCGAATGGAGCGGGAACTGATCTATCGGATCACACAGATCGCTATTGGATCGCTATTGGATCGGTATCTGATCGCAATCGGATCACAAGTACCCCTATATCGCCTCATTATATGGCGATCTATGGCGCTCCTTCAGATCGCGTAGATCACCGTGGATCGCTGCCTAGTGGAATTGGGGTAGAATATTCCAATCAAACGCGTTCCTAGGTGCTGTGTGGCGATCTGATTGCGCTCGGATGGTGCTTCACAGATTGGTAAGCGATTTAGATTGCCCCTCTGTGGCGCTCTGATGGCGCTCCAGTGAGATCCGTTCGCACCATGTTTATGATCTGATGGTGCTCTGATGGCTTTCCCAAAGGCCTATAAAAGAGTGCCACTACCTTTGGCAATCATCATTTCGCTGTTCGAGACCAATGAGTGATCTTGAATTGGTCTCAAGTGGCACGATGCCACCCAAGGGCAATAGTAAAAGAGGTGTCAAGGGATAGACCACTAGACTGGGGGCCAGATGACCGTAGCAGTGGCGAGAGACCCCAGTCCCAGCAGACAAGAGGAGACATCCCAGCATGGCGATGAAGAGACAGCCCCGCCTGGGTCACAGGAAGAGTATCATGATGAGGAGAGTCCATCCCCAGCCAGCAAGCAAACGCATCAGGGTCAACCTAAAAGCAGGACATGAGCTGGCAGGATTTATTCAGGAAAACCAAGTGCGCCGTATGATAAGGGCAAAGAAGGATGGAAGGACACCGCCCAAAAAGATGTTGTGTGGCGACAGCAAGCTGAGAAGATGGGGGTCCCCTTTGAAGCAACAAGCGGTGGTACCGTGACCTCAGGACCCGCCTCAGGCGTCTTCTCTGGAAGAAAAGCGGTCAAAATGCTGAGGTCCCTGAAGACAAGCCGACTCAGACAGGGACCGATGGATCATTGACAACCTGGGCTTCCTCCGCCGGCACATAGTTCAGCAAGTCCAAAGGAGGCCCATTGTCGCCGTTCGTGACAGGACCAGGGCCCAGGCTTCAGCCCCTATGCCTTAGGAGATGGAAGGTGATGATAGTGATGAAGAAGGTGCTTCAAGTGCCATCCCAGTCCCAGGCTACCCCTGGCAGTTTTTGTGACTGGGTCAGCAGAGTCCTCCAGGAGATGGAGTCTGACAACTACAGGGCAGCGCAGAGGGAGATAACCAGCGTGCTCTTCCTCTGCATGGTCCCAGCTGCAGATCCTTAAGTACAGCTGTACACAGCAGGGACAAGCTACTAGCAACCACAAGCCAGAACCAGATTCCAGAATCAAGCTGGAACCAGCAACCAGCTTCTTCTTCTCAGTTGGACCAACAGTGGCAGCCTCACTCCTCCAAGTGGCCAGACAGATGCCACCAGTCTCCGTGTTGGGGTCCATGGAGTCGACATACATGCAACAGGCCATGCCCCAACAGTACAGTCGCTCATCCAGCTGCTCTCTCTTCAGCATGCCTGTCCAGGATACCAGCATTCTGAACCCCTCCAGGGGCCGCAGCTCCTTGCTTGATGATCCAGGTAACCAGGCACGCCCCTTGTCACCATGGTACTGGGCCCGTCATCACCGAAGAGACAGCAGCAACAGCAGGGCCAACAGCAGCAACAGTAGGGCCAACAGCAGCCACAGCAGGGACAGGCTGAAACTAGCCAGAGTGAAGATTACAGTGATCGATGCTTTGGGGTATTGTGTTTCATTTGTGTGTAATTTTGTTCAAGCTGTACCCATTGATAGTAACATTTGGGAGTAGTCTAGTAGTGTCCACTTTGCATTTGAATATTTTTTTTAATGAATATAAAAACAAACTTTGATCCTTTTAGTGTTTAATAAATAGAACAGAAATGTACTGGTAGCAAAATAAAACTTTTTTAAACTTCCAATACACTGTATTATTGTATTTCAAAGCATCACTCTCGCTATCACAGTCAGTTATTGCACTGCTGTAAGGTTGTTCAGGTGCCACCATCCTATCCTGCCATGGTACCGAGCCAGCTTCACTGTTGAAGTACAGTCTGAGGTACTCTCGCATCTGTTTGGCCTTCGTAGTGGCCCTGTCTGGCCCCACTCTCTGGTACACCTCTTGCATGTTGGCGTGCTGCCTCCACTCACCAGGATCAGATTTTGCTGCACATCCTCTCTGCCCAGATCCGCATTCTGCAGAGCAGGATATCTGTTTCTCATGACGTTGTGCAGGGAGATGGCAGGCAGTCTTGACGATGTCTCGGACCACATCAGGACCCTGCTGCATCGAGATCAGTAAACACTGCCATTTGCTGGCCAAGATGCCGAATGCGTTCTCCACCACCCGCCTGCCCCTGGAGATTCTGTAGTTGCAATCTGCTGGGACCTTGTTATACCTCTGTGGGAGTACGTCCTGACGGCGAAGGCATCATCAGCAAGAATGAAATATGGGACGTCCCTGTCACCATTTGGCAGACTTTCTGGATGAGGAAGGTTGATGGAGCAATCTTCTAAGCACTCCCTGAGGTTGTTGGGCCAAAACAGAAAGCTGTAGGATCACGATAGCATGGTTCAGGAAATTAAAGAGCACTTGAAACATGGCAGCGTCTCTGGGGTTCATGACTGACTAGGACCTACCCCTCTGCTACCAAGCGTAGAACTGATGAGCGCCTCACAACGCTACGAGTTTTTTATAGGATCAGACCCAAAATTCAGCGATCGTGTCGCAATGGAATCCCATAGAGTGCTAATTGAGTGCTAATGGATCTCCATAGGTCGCCTAGAGCACTATCTGGTCGGAGTGGAGTGCATTAGATCACAATGTTCGCCATCAGAGCATAGATAGAGCGCCATTGGATCTTATCCTGATCGCCTTGGGTCGCAAAAGGAGCGGGAACTGATCGTGCAAGATCGACACATTTTGGGTTGTTTGGTTATGATCTAGGGTCTTCAAGTTGCTATCGGATCGCACAGATCACTTTTGGATCGCAACAGGAGCGCTATCTGATCGGAATCAGATCGTAAGTGCCCCTAGATCGCGGAAAATTAGGAGACCTATGAGGCTCCCTCAGAGTGCGTAGAGCGCAGTAGAGCGTCGCCTAGTGGAATTTGGGATATTAGACAAAATCATAGGCCCTCCCAACAACAAATGGTCAGTGACTCGGGTAGAATAGGTCTTCAGCAACCCATGCTTGCCGTAAAAGGCTACTATGCTTGTCATAAGAAGCGACGAACGGGATCAGGTGGTCAGGCTCGCTGACTTGGTTGATGAATGTCATCATATCCAAATTGCATGGATCGATGTCAATCACTGGATTGTCTGGTCCGGACTCGATTATTTACAGACCACCGTCATATGGCAGGAATATTACTGAGTGCTTTTCTTATTTTGAGGTGGTAACTCTGTGCCATCAAGTGACATGGACTCAAGGTATTGGATACAAGGTATTGAAGGACTATTTGAGAAACATTAAATCTCACCCTAGTTCTGAATAAATATGTTATGTTGTCATAAAATGCTCGCATTACGTATTATTGTTATTTATGGGAATGTAAAATATAGGTCAGTCATTTAATGGCGTCTTCCCTGGTAAATATTGTTGCACGGGGGTATTTGTTGAACGTCATGTTGCTGAACTTCACTGCTGTGATAAGCGATATCAATGCACAGGTATATTCCAGTCATATGCTTTTAATTAAAGTAATCAGACTATGATATATTGTTGAAGGCCCATGTGGGCGACTCACACGGAACTATATTACGTATATACGTGAGGCATTTAGGCATTTTACGATTTGTGCTGATCTGTTTTTTAATGCATAAGAATCAGACTCGGATTGGCAAAGTGAAAACAAGGTAACTAGGGCAAGCAAACTGATAAGCCTCAGGTAGATCGATGATCTGATGTTCCAAAACCCTTCCACTGATTTACCCTCCTGAACAAGAAATAAAGGAGAGCAGTGAGACGGTCTCATCTGTCATATTAAGATCAATGAATACAGATTCAGAGGGACAAAACACTATCCACAAGACTGTCTTACAAGATGGATGGTTTCAACTTTCCAATAGTGGAAGATCCCTTTATGTCGAGCAATATTCCTGCAACACAAGCCCTTGGTATCTACATTTCACAGAACGCCTCCGTGGTCTTGTGGTAGGGCGCCCGCCCGGAGAGCGGAAGGTCCGGGGTTCGATCCCCGGCCGCGTCATACTAAAAGACGTTGAAAGATGGTACTTGTTGTTACACTGTCTGGCGCTTGGTATTAAGGGGCTAAAACAAGGACTGGTCGGCTCGGAGTCAGTATTCTGTGTCTGAGTGGGGTATTCATGTTAAGCTGCGGCATGGTATCTCAGTGGGCTGGCACTATAAATCGGCATCTGTCCGGACTAGTACAACAGCCACACACACGTACATGCACGTCGCTATATAAGTGCAATAATCTTGGACGCGACGTTAAAACCCATTTCACCTCACCTCATTGTTCTTTGCGATTTGTGGCATAGCTATCTTATATTGTTTAATAGGACCAAGTGAAAAAAACACAATTACATGACTGGCTGTATATGGTTTATGTTTTCATGTTGATTTTAATAAGTGTTTAAGTTAGCCGTGTTAAATATGACGTCATTTTACATGGACAAATAGGTATTCACTACTTTGATATGTTTGATATATAACACGGCACTACATCTAAGATGAGGAAACTGTTGTGAAAGTTGAGATCCGGGTTAGAATAGGTCTTCAGCCACCCATCCTTGTCGTAAAAGGCGACTATGCATGTCGTAAAAGGCAACTAACGGGATCGGGTGGTCAGGCTCGCTGACTTGGTTGATGCATGTCATCGATCCCAATTGCGTGGATCGATGCTCATTATGTAAATCACTGGATTGTCTGGTCCTGACTCGATTATTTACAGATCACCGTCATATAGCTGGAATATTGCTGAGTGCGGCGTTAAACAACAAACCAACCAACCTCTCATACCACTTGCAATTGCTTCAAACAAAAAGGCGGCGCCCAGTCAAGACGATCTGATCGCTAATCAAGATCTATATTGTAAGTGCATCAAATCACTTGAGCATCTTGATTAAAAACATGTTAACGCCCAACTGGCAATACACATGCTTTGCAAGTCTATATTTCCCACAGGTTCAGGTTCTGAATCCCCCATCTCACTGGGGCTCCTTTTCACTTAAATGTAGCTGCTTGTTTCTATCAAAAATATATATTTACAGAGACTAGTGTTAGTCAAACATTATGGCTAGCTCATGCACACTTGGACTTTGGGATTTTCTATTTATACGTATTGGGACAGAAGAATTGAGGGGACTTGAACACCCCAAAACCATCTCATGTGCACCATGTTAGATTAGGGACTCTTGCAGGTCAGCTTGTTGTATGATTGGATGCGTGTTCTTTTTTAGGTCAACACCTAAATGTGCATTCATACCATAGTGCTTTTTAGATTTAATTTTTTGCCTCTTATCATTGACTGTGAAATCGGACCTGTAACCCACTTACAAAAGAAGGTACTGCCTGAGCGCACCTGAACAAGAGGACAGCCCCAGTGCAGGTATCAGTTTAAAAACATACATCAGCCGGTCACACTCTGCTTGGATGACCCTAACAGTCTTGTCTTACACCTGCTCACAGGTTTCTTTCTGAGTGGGGTATTCATGTTAAACTGCAGCATGGTAGAGAGAGAGAGAGAGAGAAAGCACCAATTTTATTGTGCCACATCACTTCACCTTTGTTTAAAGACAAACAAAGACATTTTCTCGTTGCCTATCTCTTGTGATAGCCAAGCATACCCTAATCCATACATCTACAGCATATTCTTAATCTTTAAAGCCCACGTTTCTTTAACATTGTCTGCCATAGATTTTAACATTAAAAAATACTGTTTTGGGTATCTCTCTGAAGGCAATGGTAATAATTTACACCAAAACTGTATGCATCTTAGCATTATACACTGCAAACAATGTTTTCATTCCACATTTTCTAGGGTTAGCCTAGTGGTTAAAGCGTTCGCTCGTCACGCCGGAGACCCGGGTTCGATTCCCCACATGGGTGCAATGTGTGACGTCTGATGTCCCCAGCCGTGCTATTGCTGGAACATTGCGAAACGCGGCGTAAAATCATACTCACTCACTCACTCCACATTCTCCAATCACCATTATAATTACTAACCGATTTATTTACTCCAGTTAGTTACGACAAAACTGTAGTTGGGCTTTAGAATATCTCTCCACTTGGACACACATCCAAGGTAGCCTAGTAGTGGCTATGAGTTAATGATGCGTCCAGTAATTGTGTTTGTTTATAGTCCTGTTGTTGTTTGCAGAACTTTATAAGGTCCTGGAGAGGATTTCGGAACGGGAACTATAATTTCTCTAGGTCGACTATGCCTGTACACTCAAAGGTAAAAGGTCACGAATCTGTTCCGGAGATGTATCTTTCAAATATTGCGGCTTTCCTGGGCTGTTGGGACACACACACACGTGGTCTACCACTTTGCGTCTTGAGACAGGCTATGTCGTGGTAACAATGTCGCTACCGTCAGTGGGGTTCATCCAAACGTTCGGGAAATATATAAATAAATAGCACCCATTTGTGTCATACAAATAGCCGAAATCTGCACCGAAGTCAGTCTGACCATATTTTATGTTCCTTTCATAGCTGTGATACTAAAGCTTCAGTTACGCCAATTTATACCCGATTTCAGCACGAGCATTTCATGCTTCAAGCGGAAAACACGGTTTACACATTTTTCATGACGTCAGCTGTACGGGAGCGCGTTTAGTGATTCATCTATATGTGTTTCTTATTATCTGTAGTTAATAACAACAGATATACCTACCTACACCCAAAGCATATCTGCAGCAAGCTTGCCAGGCCGGAGGTGAAGAGGCACAGACTCAGGATCTCTGACCTCACTTCCGGTAGTTCGCCAGCTCCAATTTGATTGGTTATCAACACAGCAGCTGACAAAGCCCCGGTTATTCCCAGAAGCGCTTGCTGACATGTGAAATAAAAACTGACATTGATAGAAACTAGTGACCAAAAGAGCTACATTGTGTTAGAAAATTCCTAAATGTTTCAGGATTGTTTTTGTTTGTTTGTTGTTTAACGCCACACTAAGCAATATTCAAGCTATTTGATGGCGGTCTGTAAATAATCGAGTCTGGACAAGACAATCCAGTGATTGACATCATAAACACAGATCCAAGCAATTAGGATACGATGACATGCATCAAACCAAGTCAGCAAGCCTGACCACCCGATCCCGTTAGTCGTCTCTTACGACAGGCATGGGTTGCCGAAGACCTATTCTACCCCGGATCTTCACGGGTAAAATGTTTCCTGAAATATGCAGAGTGGGTAAACGATGCCCAGTTGACATTCTTGAGCAGAATGATTCACAGTGCTGACTTATCAGGACGATTGCAAAGACTCTGTGACCTGGCGTAATGTGTGTCATTGTTACATAATGTTATATATCACTTGTTTCCCTGGACGTAACTAGATTATTTACAGACTGCAGCAATATAGCTGGAATATTGCTGACTGCGGTGTAAAACAATAATCCACAGATGGCCCAGATCACAGGGGAAGGGGTTTGTTTGTTTACCTGTAATCCATAGATGGCCCAGATCACAGGGGAAGGGGTTTGTTTGTTTACCTGTAATCCACAGATGGTCCAGATCACAGGGGAAGGGGTTTGTTTGTTTACCTGTAATCCATAGATGGCCCAGATCACAGGGGAAGGGTTTTGTTTGTTTACCTGTAATCCATAGATGGCCCAGATCACAGGGGAAGGGTTTTGTTTGTTTACCTGCAATCCATAGATGGCCCAGATCACAGGGGAAGGGGTTTGTTTGTTTACCTGTAATCCATAGATGGTCCAGATCACAGGGGAAGGGGTTTGTTTGTTTACCTGTAATCCATAGATGGCCCAGATCACAGGGGAAAGGGTTTGTTTGTTTACCTGTAATCCATAGATGGCCCAGATCACAGGGGAAGGGGTTTGTTTGTTTACCTGTAATCCATAGATGGCCCAGATCACAGGGGAAGGGGTTTGTTTGTTTACCTGTAATCCATAGATGGCCCAGATCACAGGGGAAGGGTTTTGTTTGTTTACCTGTAATCCATAGATGGCCCAGATCACAGGGGAAGGGGTTTGTTTGTTTACCTGTAATCCATAGATGGCCCAGATCACAGGGGAAGGGTTTTGTTTGTTTACCTGTAATCCATAGATGGCCCAGATCACAGGGGAAGGGTTTTGTTTGTTTACCTGCAATCCATAGATGGCCCAGATCACAGGGGAAGGGGTTTGTTTGTTTACCTGCAATCCATAGATGGCCCAGATCACAGGGGAAGGGGTTTGTTTGTTTACCTGCAATCCATAGATGGCCCAGATCACAGGGGAAGGGTTTGTTTGTTTACCTGTAATCCATAGATGGCCCAGATCACAGGGGAAGGGGTTTGTTTGTTTACCTGTAATCCATAGATGGCCCAGATCACAGGGGAAGGGTTTTGTTTGTTTACCTGTAATCCATAGATGGCTCAGATCACAGGGGAAGGGTTTTGTTTGTTTACCTGTAATCCATAGATGGCTCAGATCACAGGGGAAGGGGTTTGTTTGTTTACCTGTAATCCATAGATGGCTCAGATCACAGGGGAAGGGGTTTGTTTGTTTACCTGTAATCCATAGATGGCCCAGATCACAGGGGAAGGGGTTTGTTTGTTTACCTGTAATCCATAGATGGGCCAGAACACAGGGGATGGAGGTTTGTCTATGGTGTAGAGGAGCTTGCTGTGGCTGATATCAGATGCGGGCTGTTGGTGGTCCGGACAGTTACCCATATTTTGTTCCACTTGCACTTCTTGATCTTCCGAGGCAGGCTCTTGATGGTCCGGACAGTCACCCATGGTTGTCAGTTGTTCTGTACCTCTGTCGCAAAGGTCAGCGTTAATCATTACCGATCGCATTTACCAAACACACAATGTTCATTCATATGCATGTTCGGAACCATAAAAAACAAACATGGAATTTACCGTGTCTTAGTGACAAGGGGTTTAACGCTTTTAACAATTGTCGTTGCGATTGGACGTTTTTCAAAACAAGGCAGGTCTTCGAACTTTACCTGTGTCAGAAATCCACTATCATGGGTATGATCCTTGTGACAGAAATCCATAACTGCCTGAAGTTGAGTTTCAAAATCTCAACCAGTAAGCTTAGGTAACTATATCTTGTGCACGAGTGTCCCAAGAGGGCGCTAGAGGTAGACGACCGCATTAAATAACAAAGTGAAAGGGGGTTAAAATCATATACCTGTCACATGTCAAAAGCCAAGGAGAACCCAGGAATGGTGGACAGGCACATGTATGTAAACTAGAGGTTATATCTCTTCTCGTGAAAATTTTAATGCTTGTCGTTACTAAAACCACTATGTTAAAAGAGGAACAGTTACCTGTATTATGCACACGTACTGCAAATCGTCTTGGTGGCTGAAATAGTCCGTCTGTTTGTTTGTACATATCAGTGACGCGACATCAGTCATCTGAGCAACAGCCATAGGCTGACAGAGTCACGTGACATTTTGTCGGGGGTATATAGTTATACCAAGATTCCGTCCGTCCGTCCGTCCGTCTGTCCGTTCGTCCGTCCGAAAACTTTGTCCGCACGATTTATCTTAAACTATTCAGGGGATTCATCTCAAACTTAGTACATATAATCTGTGTCATATGGAGGGGTGCAGCCAAAAGAAAAAACTTGTCTTTATTAATTTTCCATTTTTTTAATGAATTTTTCAAACCCTAACCAGGGTTTCCTCTGACGAGGAATTCTTGCGTATATGACTCTCAATTTAGGTAAAATATGTCCAGAAATAAATGACTGCGTCATGACTGACGCAATTACAAAATATCTTTGTTGTTGTTTACCAGCTTTGGAATGAAAATATTACAACTACTCACCTGAACTTAATTTAAAAACATTTTCCGAAGACAATATATGCAAACATCTTAAAATTTACGTCTAGTTTTTAATTAATCGTCGTTTTTAGAAGTAACATAAATTCGCATAACACCACTGCCACGGGCTAATTTGCATATCCTGTCACATGACCAGACTTTTCTCTAGTTTTAACACAAACGCTAAAATCAGAACAGCCGGGGGCTTTACATATTGTTTTGCATAATTATATAGATATGCTACTAAAACTGTGCGACTGTGAGGTACACGACAAAATATGTTTATTCATCAAAGTGAACGTAACTCTCACACTCCGTGTGGCTTCGATGACAGCACGTGATGTAAACAAAGGAAAACTACGCAAATGGACAAGGTTTTTCACGTTTCGGCATATTTTCTCACTAAAAGTTAACCATGACATATGTTTATCTAGATGTGTAGACTCGTAGAAAATGAAACAAAAGAAAATATTATCATTGTTGCGGTGAATAATGTGATTTGGCGCGGTCACAGTATGTGGTTAAGCGGAACCTATGGAACGGGGTAAACAGAAGTTGTAAGTATCGGAGGGACACATGTTTTTGCCAAAATTTAAGTAAACATTATTGAATGAAATTTTAAATAAAATTAATAAAATAGATCCCAAACATAAGGTCAGATATACAGAGAACACATTTTTATTACCAGATAGTGTAACAACAGGATTAACTTGCGTAATTCAATTCGGATTTGTTATGCTATTTCCGATGACAGATCATGACAGCCTGAAATGAGACTGAAGAAAAGTCTGTGCGTATTATACACGAGAGATATTTTTTTCAGGATTTAATTTGCCCATAATTAGGGGTGCGTATTATACACGAATAAATATGGTATATACGAAATGTAAAGCTTTGGGCGTGTTTGTTGTTGCTAATAAACTGTATTCAACCAGAAAATATTACAAGTGTTCACAATTCTTCAGTTCAACTTCACTGTTGATAGATAATACAACATAACTAGATAAAAGATGTAAATGAGTTAGTGGTATTAAATTATAATCTGACATGAAATGTATTTTAATATCCATCCATGATTAAAAAATTTGTCTCACAGTTGAGACTGATGTTTTTTAATTTATCCTGTATTAGTGTCACTGTAAATTGTTTCATGAGCTGTGAACTAATTAAAGATTGTGAAAAAATAAAACCAACAAACTTTGTTTTTCATTCATATATCCTTTATTTCTCGGCAGTACAATCAGCTGAGAACATTAATTAGCACTTGTTAACTTAAACTAAAGACATATAATATTTAAAAGATACTTAACTTTAAGTGTAACATTAACAGTGAACACTTTTAATTTCATTAATCATACAATAAAGCATTTGACTCTCAAAAAATATTTTTGACTCCCAAAAATTCATAGGCTGAGTCAAGGTGACTCTCAGATATTGGAGTCTAGGGGGAACCCTGCCTAACCCTATCCTAGCTATTTAATTTGTAACTACTGACATACTAGGCGGGTCGGGGGTATTAGTGAGCTATCCATCGGGTCCCCAAAGAAATCAAATGGTTAGAATTACTACAATGTCACAGAGTGACTTAATAGCACTCTGTTTGGACAACGTATTATCTTTTAAGAATTATAGCACGTGAACTACTTCCCTTTAGTGCAGTGTTCAATTGCATCTCGTTTTGTAATATAGACTATTGAACTTGATGTAATCCATGCGTAACAGTGGTCAATTGACCACAACAATTCACATGTTGACATTGTAAGCCTTAAGCCATTTCGACATGGGCCATGTCTGTAAACACATTCATAAGTACAATGTTCAGGGCAACGCCATTGTCTCTCAGTCAGTCCATTGTTGTCCAATAGTGTATATTTGTATATATGTTTACTGTTAATTAGTTTAGTATTACGACTGCACCTGTATGTTTTGGTTAGGTTAATTATTATTGTTTTATGCCGCACTCAACAATATTCCAGCTATATGACGGAGGTCTGTAAATAATCGCGTCTGGACCAGACAATCCAGTGATTGACATCATGACATCCAAGCAATTGGATACGATGACATGCATCAACCAAGTCAGCGAGCCTGACCACCAGATCCCGTTAGTCGCCTGCATGTATTGCCGCGAGAAGGATACACCTGCTTGCTGTACTTGACTGAAGTAGTTGAGTTGGAATCTCCGCTCGACATATTTCTATTAGTAATTGTATTTGCTGTATTTGTTATTGCTTACTAAAGAAGTTTGGACTCAACGTATTCGTCGTCTTCAATCTGAGCTAATTTCCCCGTCAACATACGCGCTGACAATATTAACGAGAGCTCTGTTTTAAAGAAACACAATATTAACAGTTTCTTTACTTTGTACCTATGACATAAAAATGGTAATACTACATGAGATATCACTGTTTAAACAACATCCAGCTGTACTACACACTATGTTATAACCTCACGAACGAACGGATACTTTTTTTAAAAATGGGTGACTCACGATCAGCCACAATGGTTTCGACACCCGGGAGATAAACAGTGGACCCCCACAACCTGTTGGCAAGACATCAGTCCCATAACTCTCGAACTGTCCTGTAACACTCCAGTTTATTGCCACCTTGTTTATTGACGTTAGCCACAGCCGCAGTGTTATCAATTAACAGTCTTAAGTGTTTATTGCGAAGATGACCACAGAAACATTGAAAGGTCAAACACGCGGCTCTTACCTCCAGACAGTTAATATGTAACTAAGACAAAATTGTTATGGATGAGCAACTTCTTTATTACAATTGAGCGACGTTTCGGTGTAGATTCTAACACCGTTATCAAGCAAATGATGTACAAACTAGGTATGAGCATGATATATATACATAACAATAGATAGATGTTTATAAACTTGTTTATCATAACTACCTATCAATCAGTGTACATCAACCTTATCTGTTATATAAACATCTATCTATTGTGATGTATATATATCATGCTCATACCTAGTTTGTACATCATTTGCTTGATAACGGCTGGAATAAGTTGAGACTTCTTGGGGTGAATTGTGAATCCCAAAGAATCAAACAACCTAGTCGTGTCGGTCACATTATTTTCACATTGATGTTCTGTGTCCCCTTGCAACAGTGAATCATCAAGATAGCCCGAAATTGCATGTCTATATTTTCTTAACTCTGACAGCGCAACTTTAAACACTTTAGTGAAGACACGAGTAGCTGTACTGAAACCGTTGGCCAAGCAGGTGAATTCTAACCCGTATCATTCTAATAAGGATTTGGAATACCGTGTGAATTTACGAAATTGCATTACGTCTGCATGTAGCTTACAGTGGCAATTATTCTTCTGATTACACATACGATCGCAGGATAGATATTTTGTATTCAGCTGAAAAAACTCATTGTATAAACCAACATTAATATTCATCATTCAAAAAACACTTAACGTTGATATCATGAGAGAACACTATGACCTACTGATAAAGATGCCTCCTCTCCCTACACAAACTCGTTCAACCGTTCCCTGTCATTGTACAGATTGGGTTACGTGCATCCTACAAATGCAAGAACGAGAGTCGTATGCTGTTTATGCACAGGTAAGTGATTCCACAACAACAATTTCATCCATACACTACTGCTCACAATTACGTACCCCCTTACGACAGTACTGTTCCTCAAGTGTACAGCAGTCGTTTCGTAAACCCTTCGACGCGGTGGTATTAAACTGGGCGGCAAAAGAAAGTATAGGTCGAGTTCCATGATTGATAAAAAAAATAACAAGAAGAGGTTTTGTTGTGAATTATAATATAATCTAGGGAGGGGTAACAAATGATTGATCAACCACAGTTTGAATGAAATTGTGCAATCACAGGTAATGTAAGCTCAAGGTAAACAATGTAGGGGAAAGAAATTTCATTTTCAAAAGTTGTCTGAAATGTCACCAAAAAATTGTCAGACACACTACAAGTTCATTGTCGACACAGTTGCCTTCAAAAGCGTGTATGACCTCCAGCTGCCTCAATGCATGCTGTGATACGCCGCCTCATCGATGACGTCAGTCTTCTGATGACGTGGACTGGAATCCGTTGCCACTCGACCTGTGAAGATTCCGGTGTAGAATAGGTCTTCCGCAACCCATGCTTGCCGTAAAAGGCGACTATGCTTGTCGTAAAAGGCGACTAACGGGATCGGATGGTCAGGTTCGCTGACTTGGTTGATGCTCATGATATTAATCACTGGATTGTCTGGTTCAGACTCGATTATTTACAGACCGCCGTCATATAGCTGGAATATTGCTGAGTGCGGCGTTAAACAACAAACCAACCAACCAACCGTTGCCACTCGTCTCTCAGGGCCTGCTGCAATTCTTGTCTGTTGACGGGAGGCTGATGGCGTGCTCTAATCTGTCTGTGAAGATGGTCCAAAAGATGTTCAATAGGATTCATATCGGATGAGTGGGCAGGCCAAGGCAAAACCTCAACGTTCTGCTGGTTTAGAAAGTTCCGAGTCAGTCTTGCAGTATTTGGTCTGGCATTGTCGTGTTGAAACAATGTCTCCTGCTGTTGGTTTTGTAAGAACGTAAGCACAACTG